GGTTTTTGTGGTTTTGCTCAATGTCAAAGGTACGCGATGATAACGGTGTAATCTTCTGTAAGCTTTCATACCGGTCGCTTACCAATGACTGCGACATCAAATACCAACGACCTGCACCTGTACAGGCAGTTGCTTTTTATCAGAACTTTTATCCGTCCTGGCGAATCGCGTGCGAAAGTTGAATAAAGAACCACCTGTTTCGTTCCCCTGTTCGTTTCCTATTCGATCCACTTCGCTGTATAATATTAATCGTTGTAAGTGAAACAACATTTCTGATAAATAAATCCGAAAGATAAATCGAGGTCCATTAAGTTTGATATTTAACTTCGTGTTATCCGAATGCAAGAATAGGAAAGGAAATTCGTCACGTTTATTGTCACGCTTGTACACAATACGTATTCATCATTTTTTTATTTCACTATGATAAATTGCATAACGTACGAGGAAATATCAATCAACCGTTATTCAATCGCACGAAACTTTCTCTGTACCTCGTATTTCAGGCGATAGGGTTGAAATGAATTGCAATAACTCCGAGAGAATAAACGGGATTCGTTAGTAAGTGTTATTTCAATAAAATCTACATTTGTGATTTTTTTCAATGTTAATTATTGATTAGTCGTTGAAATATGCAGACACTGATAAAAGTATGAGATATTAATGAAATAATTATGATGCAAGCAAGAATTTTTAAAAGTATACGCAATTCTTTGATATGTAATACACGGTTGTCGAACGTGTTTGGAAATAAGGGAAGGGTATGTTGAAAATCTTCTGTAATCGCGAAGAGAAGAAATGATAAGATAACCCATTGTTTTTGTGCAGCGCGATATCTCGCCAAGAGAACAATCTATTCATTTTAATCAGAACGAAAAATTTCTTGTAACTTTGAACAGGGCTGTCTCTAATAGTGAATAAACTGGTACTTATCCAGGGCCCCGCGTTGAAATACTTTCAAATTATCAAATTTTATAGTGAAACACGAATTCTTTTATACAATGGACTCTCGTTATATTGTTACGAATGGGACTATAATTTTCTAAGTTTCCAAGTTCTCATCTGTAGGGGGAGAAAATCTTCGTAAACTAAATGGTAAAAGAATGGCACTAGTGAAAATCTTGTGATAGTCAAATCACTCATGTGGCAATATAACGAGAGTCTACTATATCTTTATTATTTCCAATAATTTCGACTTTTGTTCTGGGCCTCGCAATCTCTAAGATCAACTCTAACTTTAAATTAATTCAAAGTGAAAAATTATCTTGTATAAATAGGTAGGAATAAATTATAATACAATGCATATATGTATAATTAAAAATATAATTATATTCTTCACTTTTCACTAATGAGATAACATATATACATCAAATTTAAGTTTAAGCATATATTAGAATTTCTAAAAATCAGGGTTTGAAAAAAAAAATAAAGACAGTCTATACTTAGTTCTATATTTTGATACTCTAGCAATGTAAAGACAAATTATCTTTTTACTACAACAATTTCAGATAAAATATACATGCAAAATGACACCACACGTTCTTTGCTATGTACGTGGAGATTGATGAAATAGCTGATCGAATGTCTTAAGAGCGATTTGAAAAAGTGCAGGAAATCGATGGTACAGGTAGTTTCACGGTGGAACGATATCAACCAGCGGGTAAGTACTCGAATAGTAGCCACCGTAGGATCGGAATGAGGTTGACCTTGGCATTCTCGTAGAGATAATAGTGGTACCTAGTTGGTGGCTGCGTACACTCCCCTCGTTTCGATGTCGTACCCTCATTTCGCTTCTTGCTACCTCACCCCGTGGCTACATCAGCGTCTACCGAGAAATGAAACAAATCGAACGGCCACGAGTTCGCCTTGGTTACCTTCTCGTGACGATCATGACGAGTTTTCCCTGCCAGGACTAAGCTGCACGCGATCCAGCCTCTACTCGACACGTTTGTTGAAAGAGACGAGCAGATTTGATCGACGATCGAAACGATTCCCGCGGGTTTCTACGGACGGTCGTTCCGTCACGAGGGAATAATCTGGGAAATGACTAACAGCCAGTTTTCATTTTCTTATTCCGTCTGGAATCTCAGCTTCGCGCCGACAAGCGTCAGGGTGAGATTGAGACGCGATGTCGTTGAACGCGCAACTCTGTACTCCACTGTTGGGTAGCTATAAATTTCATGTACAGTACCGAGCAAAGTAGACGCGCCTAGGGAAAATGGCGCTGCAAAGGAAATAAGAATTCTAGAGATCTTAATTGTGAACATATTAATATAATTTTCAATAATTAATTTTCCCTAATTAGTTACGTTTCTTCAATTTTCTATTATATGAATATTAGACAAGACAAGCAGTGATTATTAATTTTAATAGAATTACGTGGGACACCAATGACCCACGCGGAGTGAATAGAAAGTCAGTTGAATCTGGGACGGCAGTGAACGTGTTAAAAGTGCAGGTTGATAAGGCGTCCCTGATCATTGAGACCGTTAGGAGGAACTGAGTAGAGCGCCGGGACGCGACGGGTTGCAGGAGACAAGTCACGTGGAGGCGTGCGACTATGTAAGGTATGCAGCCCCAGGCCTTTTTGTAGCTTTTTATTACTGTGCTTGGGCCTCTCCTCCGACGGTCGCAACGAAAAAGACGAAAAGACCTACGGTGCCCGCGACAAAAAGTAACATCCTCATCCACGTTGCGAATTCGATCTTCGAAACCATAGAAAAGATTTACTGAAATTGCGCGGTGTATTGCTTTATTAACCTCGATCATCTATTGAATCCAAAGAAAATCTCTCTATGCGCAAACTAAGAGAAAAGTTACACAGAAATTTAAATAAGATAAAGGAAGGTCAAATTAATGAACCTACTCTAAAATAATTGCATACTATAAAAGCGCACATAACCATTTGAATATTATCTTTAACTGTATTCGCGATCAGATCAAGGTGCCCTAGGGAAAATGACGATATAGGGGAAGCAGGAATTCAGAATCTTAATTTTAACGATATTAATATTGAAAGTGATTCACAATCAGAAACAAAATAATATCAGTTTCAATTATTAAATATACAATTTAGTATATAACTGCAAAGTACGAATATGCAGTATATATTGATTCAAATTTTCCCGCATAAACGTGCGTACGCAAGTGGTGGGGGGCCACAGACCTATATATAGATGGAGCCTCTTTCGCTTATCGTCATTCTCCTTCGCGATGACTACGGGGAAGGACGGAAAGTCAAGACATCACCATTTTTCTGTGGGAATTTGAGTTGATCGCGAATGTACATTGTACAACCATTAATATAATATTCATAGCGCACTGAGCTGAAAATTTAAGATTAGTTCTGTACGAACTTTTTCCTCGCACTCATTCCATGAATTTCAAATCTCTTTGAAAATCACGTGTACTTTCAGTGCATGCTAAATTACTTTTTCCCGATATCTTGAAAATGGTAATAAACTTTTATACCATTAGGCTCTTATCAGTGCGATATTTCTATTCGTTAGGAATCCACACGAGTAGACGGCAGTTTTCGCTTCGCCGTAATAAAATCGTGCAAGGGAACAGGAAATCGTCCACGATTTCTCCGCAGAAACTTCGTTGAATCTTAACTCCTGATCTGCATAAACGATCACACGGAATATTATCTTGAAATCTCTCTCTCTCTTCTTCGTACACCGTAAAGGGCTATTGGATGATTTAGTCGGACGTTACGAGGGCGGCTTAAGATTTCTTGAAATTCACGCCGAGACGGCGACCGAGTGGAATCTCTTGTATATTAAATTATCCAGGTTTGATGATTAACTTAAGATCATTTACGAACCCCTACCTGGATTCCACCTCTACCCTCTCTTATTCGTCTAAGCAGTTTAACCTGGAATTGAAGTAATTGATTTTGAGAGTACTTCTCCTCTTAATTCGAATTTCTCTATACACTTTTAGAAAAAGAATACTTTAAATAGGGAAATTTCCTCATAAAAATATTGAATTTCATAAATCAACTATTACGACACTCTTGCTCATTTATTTTATCTGTGAAAAATATTTCTTCGTTCCTGAAACAACGTCCCATAGTTGTTGAAAAGACAGACACGAATAAAAGGTTGTTTCCTTTTAATGGATTTGAATCTTATAAATCTATGACTACACAACATTTTTCGATAACCAAAAAGTATTCTTCAATTTATAGGCTACTTTCTTCATGTAGCTTATTTCTCCTGACACCAGCCTATCTTTTTATCTTTGTCAAGGGTCTTCTGAATAATGATGTTATTACGAAGACATCGATAAAAAAGTGTTCAAGCGAAGCTTATCAGTGAATAGTATAATATACAGGGTGTTCCAAAAGTGTTGCGCTCCCCGGAATGAATCATCTTTTGGTGTATTTAATTAAAGGAAAATTGCAATTAAGGGCTACACCTGTTAATCTTCAGTTACAATATTTTATTTCCTAGTAGTACAAGTGGATAATATAATATACAGTATGTTCCAAAAGTGTTGCTCTCTCCGGAATTAATAATCTTTTGGTGTTCTTCGATTAAAAGAAAATTGCAATTAAGGATTACACCTGTTAATCTTCCGTAACTGTTAAATTATAATATTTCATATCCTAGTAGAACGAATATTTCATTAAAACCGTGTCTCGCATCAACGGTATTCTTAACGCACGTATTCAATTCCTCATAACCGCATTTATAACGTCGATACTAATGATCGAACATGCAGACTCAGCTACTTTATAGCTAGGAAATCTGCCGATCTAACGGTAGTTACGCTTCCCTCGCCGATCGTGACAATTACTTCTGGATCGATCGGAAACGAGGCCAAGTGAACTTTTAACGATGGAAGCACGCATTTAAATCAGGCGAAACGACGTAAGAACGCTCCTTCCTGCATGTACCATGCTCGCAAAAGCAAGAGGGCAGCAAAGGGAAAAATGCGGCCGATCGAGCGGGGCCTTACCCTTATTCGCGAGCCGCGCGACGATCGATCCTCTTCGATGACATCGCTTACATCGTGGCACGAAATGGAAGGCATCAAGAGTAACGTTCCCGGTCCAACACTGGGTTCGCGATCGTGCCGGCAGGAGGTCAAAGAACGCGAATCGCGAACTCATGCGATCGGCGCGTTGCTGGCTCTCTCTCTCTCTGTAGAGAGAGGAGCGTGGTCGCTCTCTCGTTGCTCGAACATCAGACAAGGAGGAAGGAATGAAATGGAAGGAACGAAGAGGAAGGACATAGCTGGTATTCGCCAGCTGCCGTTGAACGTGTTCAATGCCGTAGTCGGAGCAAGAAAGCGGTCGGAGAGAAGAGGTCGGTCGGTCGGTCGCTCCGCTTGGTCTCGCTTTTCTGGTGGGGATAGAGCCGTGTGGGCCGACGGTGCTACTCCTGCTTCGTGTTTCTCTTTCGACTTCAGTCTCTCTCTATACGTACTGGGAGGTATCGGCATTGTTGGCTCGGTTAGCATGCTCTAGGCGGCTTGGCTCGCTCGACAGGAGCACCACCTGGACTGGCCTCTCTGTCAGGTAGGACCGAAACTGAGACGTTCCATAGGGGGAACGAAAATCTACCGACTTCTATCCCTGGCAGACCTTTCGATTGACAGTAGAGAGGAAACACGCGAACTCTCCAGCTCGCCTCCTGGATCGATCTTCAACCGGGTAGATTGAACCAATCCGACGTGACCCATTGGAATCTCTATCGTCTACGTAACAATCGTTCTTCGACTCGGTTCGAGGATCCAAACTGTTCAAGATAAATCGTCCGTCGGTGTCTCAGGAATTTCAGTGAAATCAATGTGTTGTAACGAGTATCTAAAGATTGTAAGACGATCTTAGCAGGGAAATATAACGGCGCTGTATCCGGCAGTGATTGCTCCGCGCAAAGAGAGAAAACGTGTAATGTGCCAGTAGGGAAGGCGAGCCTACGCCGGCTGCAAGTCGAGATCAACGATCCGGAGATAAAGTAAACCGAGAAAACACACTAAATACTTGTGAATATATTATTTCAAAAGGAGATTTATCGTTATCCGTGCCCTGTACGAGATCGGTACCATTCAAAAAGTTGAATCGTAATAATTCCTACGGTCGATGCTGGCTCCGTCAGCCAGCCGTGAAGATAAAACGACACGGAGATCGAAGGAGAAGAAGAGAAAAAGACGGGAACTTAATGCGCTAGTGGTAGATGCAAGCACGGTTGACAGTCGACGAGGACGAAGCGAAAGGCAGCTTCGAACTCGTTAACCGGTTTCCGCGGATCGGCATGCAGAACGACACTCGGTGAAGACTACGTACGCCAACCAAGTGGAGCCGAGGATCTTCCGTGCGTGTCCCACGCGTAAAGCGATCGGACCGGTCTGCTGGATCAGAGACGAATGATCACCTGCCAACGATAATATACCTTACAGCGGTACAAGGTGGTACTGGATAATTCTCGAAACCGACCGTACCTGAAAGCATGGATACTGTAAAACGCTTTTATTGTAACAGTCAGCCGGCCGAACGTTTATAGTTACACCGTCGATCCGTCGAGGACAATTGTAAAAGCAAGGGGAAAGAAACATTTACGGGAGGATGTTAAAATAGAAAAGATCGAGACAACGTTCGTGGACTGAGATTATTATTCTAGCGACTCCGAACGGAACTCCGGATCACCGCGGGGACCATCGAGGCGGGAAGGAAACACGGCTGTCCATCATCGGAACGTGCTTTCCTTGTGCTTCGACGAGGTATTTCGAATCGCGCGTGATTCGAGTTTCTCGAAAAAATTTCACCGGATACAGGGCGAAATAACGGAGTGTTCGAAGGAATGCCAGGGTTGTTCGTGAGGCGCCGATTTAGCCCTCCGCGAAGTGTATCCTCTGAAAAGTGTGTCTGTTCGCTGATAAGTGAATGAACCACACTGGGTGATGTCGAGTGCGTGGTTGCAGAGCCGGTGTGCCGGTACTGTACAAATTAGAAAGTGTGCTAAGTGCCGTGGACAAGTGGATGCCAATTAAATCAACGTCGAGTATTACAGAGAACTTCGATCGAATCCTCGGTTTAATCGATATTCTTCGAAAGTGTTCTGTCATTCACGAAGCATGGAGTATAATCACAATCGGCTATTATTTTTCAGTAAAGATACTCCGCGGTTGGATATAAAAGTTCTTCACGATTTACAGTGGATCGTGTGATACGTCGATACGGAATAATGATCAGTGTATCAGAGATTTATTCGTTTATTAAATAGAACATTGTTGACGAGCAACTGAAAAAATTGCCAAAATTTCTCGAAAGCCACGAACCGTGCGCTTCGAATCGTATTGGAAGACGAAGAGGTGCAACGGTCGCCGTGGCATGAGGAGGTTCACACGCAGGCGCAAAACCCTGGCCGCATTCTCTGCGATTATGGGACGCCTTGGTAAAGGCTCGCAGAGCACGACAAGGCCCATTTTCAGGGTACAGTATCGCAAGCTCGTTGACGAATACTCCCAGCAACAGGATCAGCTGAAGTTTATGCCAGCGTTGCCTGACTACATGTCTTATTGCTGTTGTCGATGCGGGCACACTCAAAAACTCAAAGTAAGTTCACGCTTTGCATTCCTGCTCCGACTCTATCTTACTCTGTTTAATTCCATCGCTTCGTTACAATTTGGATATGCACCATGAGGAAGTGCACCAGATTTGAAATTTTAGCAAAATAGAAGCTGTACGAAAAAAAAGAATTTAACACATTGAATTCCATGTCACCCATATTTGGGGGACACTTGAATTTTCAACGGAAGCCATCATTGTCTATATTATTGAGAATTTTGTTACTTATTTAGTTAGAAATGTTTTTATTAGTTATTGGAATTGATGAATAGGGAAAATAAGATTTTTTTAAGATAAAAATATTATCTAATGAAATTTTCAAAAGCGTTTGCTTCGCAGTCAACGCGTTAAAAGATAAAGGAATAGACCAGGTATTCTACTTCCAAGGGGAACTACCCAAGTGTTACACTCACTTATTAATGAAACTTTGCCAGCTTGTAGAGCTCGTCGAGCTGAACACGTCTATACCCCGTTTTGTGGGCAGACGGCTAATTGTTTAAAAGATATTAACAATTAGAGTTAGTTACTCCTTACATTCTGAAGTATGACAAACTCACACATACCATTCGCAATCTAAAGATCCACGGTTGAAATCCTTGGTTCCCAACATTTTTTTTTTTTAATCATAATTTGTCTCTTTTTCAATAACTCTTACATAAAAAAAAAAAAAAAAAAAAAAACAGTACCCAGGGGGTTTGAACCGGGACCTTTAGATTACGAGTCAGGTGTTTAACCGCGGAGCAGATCTGTCACTTGCAATTTGAAGGTCCTCGGTTCAAATCCTTGGTTCACAAAAAAATTTTTTTTTTTTTATGATAATTTTTATATAATAGTTATTCAAAAAGAGACAAATTATCATTAAAAAAAAAAAAGAAAATGTTGGGAATCAAGGATTTGAATCGTGGATCTCTAGATTGCGAGTTGTATGTATGAGTCTGTCATACTTCTCAATGTAAGTAGTAACTAACTTTAATTGTTAATATCTTTTAAACAATTAGTCATCTGCCCACAAAACGGGGTATAGGCGTGTTCAGCTCGACGAGCTCTACAAGCTGGCAAAGTTTCATTAATAAATGAGTGTAACACTTGGGTAGTTACCCTTGTAAAAGTTTTCCAGCTCGAAGATGGTATATTCTTAAAAATTAGATTTAAGGCACCCTTGGGTCTTCGCCACCCTGATCAGTAGCCCAACCTCCCCTCCCCTAAACTTACTTACTGGTACTGATCCTAGGTGATTAATTCTCAAGTTAATCTATCAGTAAATTGGCCTTTCCCACGGTCTAATCATTTGGTATTAAGAAAGGAAACGATTAATTTCTTTCGTTCATTTCTGTCTTGTACCTATTTAAAACAAATGAACTTTGTTAGTAAAATAAAATGAAAGACAGCAGTTGCGTGTCATTCGATCTCATCGGGACATTTGATAGTATCATTTCCAACTATTCTTTGAAACGAAAGGAAAGAGCAAGAGGGACCTGCACGAAAGTCAACTTTCACGCGAGCTAACGATGATTGCGTCATTAAAATGATCCCAAGGTACCGAGGCGTTCGGTTTATCTTTTATCTTCTCCTCTTTTCGGAGCCACGTACATGCTCGTTCGTTTTCTACTAGCCTGCAAATCACCGGGAACATCTTACCGTATTAACCAGTCGCGATTAGGTTGCAGTACCGCAACATGACCCCGAACGAGCTAGTGCATCTGACAGGTAGGAATTCAAGAAAACGGGTCCCCATTGTTTCGTCGGATAAAAAACAAGTTGACTTACGGCTAGTAAAAGTATTATGCCACTTTTGCAACTGCTTTGTACCCGGTAAGGACGTAAACTTTCTGTTTTTACGAACGGAGAACCGAGAAAGGTAAATTGAAATGAATGCAAACAACGCGGGTAATTTTACTCTTGAAAAAATGCTATAGAGAAATAACGTCGACTTGAAATTTTCCAGTACTCCGAAGAAAGTGTTTTCCACCGAAAAGAATTCTATTAAAAATGTCTAACACGTTGAATGCCATGGAGGGTATAATTTCAATGGAAGAAATTAAAGTAATACATAAGAATTTTCACACGTATGAAAGGAACATAACTTTATAGAGTAATAGGAACCTGTCACTTCTCGTTCTATTTCGTAGTTGTATAACCGGATGATGTGTTAAATAGATTAACTATCCCGGTAAGTCTGATACGAACTGGTCAAGCTAAACGTGATTACAGGAAAAGACCATGAGAAAATCTAAAGAGCTATGGTTCGTTTCGAAGACGGACAATCCAAAGGGTCAAGAAAGTCCCATAAAGAAAGCTGGAATTTCAAGATTTCAAGGAAGTCGAACGAATAGACGTCTAAACTAAAGTATAATAGAAATTTGTTAGCAGGAAAAATCTTGACATTCTGAGAAATTACTGCATAGTAGAGATACATTCATGGAGGAGGCATTGAAATCACTCGAAAATCTGACGATGAATCTAATTCAAAGAGTATGATAATTAATGACTAATGATACGTTTGAGAAACTCTTTAAATCAAGATCCCTGGTAAATCTGTCGATCTAGGAAAGTCACCAATCGAGTAGTACATGCAGTAGCCTTTCAAAGGAACTAACCTTAGCGATATTAGTGTCAAGAAGAGACAGGAGAGAGAAAGAGAAAGTGAGAGAGAAAAGAGGAAGAGAGGAGAGGGGATAAGCCGTGGGATCGGACGGGCACATTCCTGAGGTCCGTGCTTATAGCTGCTCGTGGCATCCGATACCTCATGCTCCTTGCCTCTTACTTCTTTACCGACAGAGTGCCTGCATAACGCTGATATTACAGCAATTTTTTCTCCCTCCGTCTAATACCCAACCCCTATGTGAATTACGCGAAAATGAAGAAATTTGATTGAATCGAAGGATCAGGCAAGAATTATGCAAATAGAACAGTTAGAAATCTAGGTGCAAATCTTGAATTAATAGCTGCATAAAATGCATACTAAATTCATTTCCAAGCGTGTATATAAAAATTAAAGAAAAAAAGATAAATAATGTTATTAAAATCCTTATCAGCAGAGTTTTTATGTAAATCATGTTTAATCTTTTTTTAACCCCGCCTTTTGGTGTCGTGTTCAACCCAGACGCATTTATCGCGATGCATTCGCTCTATTTCCTCCCGGTGACACGTTGTGTGCACCGTTCCCACACTACCAACCAGCACAATTTAGATAAACCGCCGTGGTGGAAAGATAAAAAGGTTAGTGGAGAAAATAGAGTACGTTAATTGTCGTCACTTGAACCACGACCTTACCAGAGTCCACTAACAGACGTAACTTCAGAACCTTCCCAAAAGGAAGCATGTAATTTTTCTGTACCATTCTTCATAGAAGGTGTAATTTTAAAATTATGCCAGATGTGCATGTAGGTACTTGTATTATGATAAATTATCGCTGTATGAATCTGTTAACGACGAAGCACAAATATGACCAGGATCATTACCAAGTAATTTCATCCAATTACACAGGGAATTCTTGCGATTCCATCTCACCCCGTGCCTTCGATTACGTAACGATGATCCGATGAAATGTTAGTAGGTCTCTGCGAGTTGGATCGCGGCTTCACCCTGAGATTAAGCGAGAGTGATAGTGTATAGTAAATGAAACATAGGCACACTCTTATTCCCGATCACGTGAGAACGTATAATCGATGCCGCATGTAAAGAACGATCGGTGCCCTCGATATTCTTATTGCTCAATGCCGTCGAGTGGGACGAGCGGGATTGCAGAATATTCTAATAAAACGAGCGAACCTCTAACAGCCTCGACGACGTTCGAACGTTTCGCCCTCGCAAGTTTCGTAATAAATCTCAGCAGAGCTTTCGTCGCGATTGAGTGTCTCTGTTGCTTGTGATTTCTTGCCTTATGTGACCTCGTTTGCCTTTCCACGCTTTGGGAAAAGACTAAGAATTAAATAAAAAATTAATTGGAATTATACGAAGCCAGAAAATATGAATTAATTGTAGGAGAGGGGAGAAAAATCTGTTTCGTCTCGGGATCGTCTGTCAGACACTGCCCTAAACACCTATCATACCGCAATTCGGAACTCCTATATATTCGAACCGCATGCCGGGTGACCATCAGCGAGAACACTGTCGTCTCCCCGCCACCTAACGGTCCCCGGTCCGAACCAAAGGCATCCAGGGGAACGAAACCCTCTCCCCCTTCACTAAACGCCTACATAATAAAGATAGGAAAAGAAATATTGTATGTTGGAGAAAAAAAAAGTATAAAAAATTCTCCACGTTTCCAATAAGAATGTCAAACAGGAGACACTCGATGGCGGGTAATAGAAGGGCCCTTAACTTCCTGCGATGCACTTAAGGAAACTACGATATCTTCCGATGTTTCGCCACAAAAGATATTTTGAATGACATCGTCAAGAGTTATTTTCGTGAGGAGAAGGCCTCGTCGAACAACCCCTCGGTTACCTATTGAAACAACCTGGACACCCTCGCCAACTTCGACAATGGCAAACGCGAGATTGATCTCGCCCCGGCGTGTCCGCAGACAAAACCCCCGAAGTCTTTTAACGAGCCCTTACAACGTACACTCGAAATTCGATCGAGTCTCTTCGAATGGTTGCTACGAAGGATCTGAAGGATCCAGGTGGACCACGGGTAATTCGCCACGTGTGTCCCGACAATGGCACTCGGCCTATATACGATACTCGTTTTCGTCCTCTCAACGTGAACCGCAGTCAAAATGTGGAAATTTTGGGTTAAGAAGAGGGATGGGTATATATACCTGTTGGTTGGATAAAGGAAGAGGCAGCGATTGATGAAAAAAATGAAATAGAGGGAGAAAGAGCTTCCAGGTCGCAGACGTTACGGAATTCCTCTCGACATCAATAGAGCATCGTGCACAAAGGGTGGGCCATTATTGTCGGGCCACTTCATAGGAGCCCCCAGGTACTTTATGAACTCTCGAGCCTTGCTAGAGGCATAAGTTACACCTGGTAGCTCCTCAA